CACCCTCTTCCTCAGCCGGTTTGTAGTAGAAATTACCTGCCATAACTGTACATGTAGAGAGGGGAGAGGGGAGAGGGGAGAGGAAAGAGGCTGATACTATATTATAAAGATAAAAGATCAGAGGGATCTTTCTAGAATGTTCCCAATGAGATGGCTTCAGGGCTCTTAAATATCCCTAAGAAGGGACGGCTCCATGACAACACCCAGTAAGGACTTGGAACCACATTAACTGGATCAGATTAAGGATGGGGACAGTGGATTTGTTTATTAGGACTGCTCTAATGAGGTATAATAAAGGAAACAGTTTAAACAATTTACTGTGTCACATTTCTGGAGGTCAGAAGTCACTCTGAAAGGACCTGTTCCAAGCCTCTCTCCTAGTTTCTGGAATTTCCTTGGCTTGTAGCATAATGCCAGTCTTCACATTGTGTTCTCTCTGTGTATGTCTGTATCCAAATTTCCCCTTTTTATTGACTATGCCATATTGGATAAGGAGGGGTCCTACTTCAAGTATGGCTTTAACATCTGCAATGGCTTTATTTTCAAATTTAGTGCTTATTCTGAGATCTTGGAGGTTAAGACTTCACCTATGAATTTTGAGTGCACAATTCAACCTCAATACATGGACCTCATATGCTGGCTTTTGGAAGATAATTCACATATTCTATCTCTGTACAGCTGACTCCCAGGATTGGTATCTTGTGCCACCTTCTTACCACCCTATGAACTACAGAACCATGAGAACAGAACGTTGGAGTAGTTAAGCAGCTGTGACTTGGACAGTCACCTTCAGTATGCCAATGATGCCCAAATCTGTGGACAACCTTCTTCTTAGGTGTGGTCTTGCTGGAGTAATAAGTCTGGCTGAATCTCCATGTTGTCAGCTGAAATGGGAATAATAAGTCCCCTGTGATGGTTAGTGCTAATTGTCAATTTGATAGAATCTAGAATCACTTGGGAGATGAGCCTTTGGGCATGCCTGTGGGGGTTATCTTAATTGATATGGGAAGACCCATATTAATTATGGGGAGGGTCATTCCCTGACCAGGGGATCTTGGACTGTAAAATGGCGATGGGCTGCTGAGAAGTAGCAAGCATTCATCTCTGTTTCCTGACTGTGGATGCAATGTGGACTTGCTGCTTCAAGTTCCTGTCACCTTGACTTCCCTGCTGTGATGGACTGTGCCCTCAAACTGTAAACTAGAATAAACCTCTTCCCTAAGTTGTTTTTGTCAGGGTATTTTTATCAGAGCAACAAGAAAAGAAACAGACACCTCTGATTTGAGGCAGGGAGTTTTGGAGGGCTACATAGCACAGGGCTCTGGGCACAAAATAAAGTGGGGGACCAGCAGACCCCAGCTCCTTTTCCTCACCTCCTTGGAAGGCTCTGTAGGCACAAGCTCTTTCCTTGGGTTGGGTAGGGGCAGGGGTCAGAAAGGTAAAGTACTCTCCCACTTCCCTTGCTGAACTGGAGACATTTGTTTCTCCTGCTGGAACCTGCCCATCCCATCTTCTCCTTGGCTTCATTCCCACTTGTCCTCCCTTTGTTTTAAGAGTACAGGGACATGGCTTCAACGTATGTTTATCTAGGGCTTTTATGGCCAAGGGTTGTGCTAGGTGCCCAGTTTCAGAGAGGATCAGACTGGGTCCAAAGATATTTGCTCCTACCAAAAGACATTCGCCTTTGGAAAGTGAGATGGGTCCTCAGGGGTTGGGGAAGGAGGGAGAGGAAATGTGGAACTAAGCCACAGAATTTTAGAGTGGATGGCACATTGAAATGCCCAGGTTTCAGCTGCCTCTGGCTACAGATGGGGAGATAATGTGCCAAGGCCAATTTTTGGGTGGTACCCACTCCAGAAGCCAGGCCTCTGAGGGACATCAGCTGTACAGAGACTTGAAGTGGAGTTGCTGGTTCCTTCCAGGTGTCTGGGATCTGGTGCCCAAGGCTGGAGAAGCTTGTGTGCGGAGGGGGTCTCCTCCAGGGCTCCTGAGGGGAGGGGACGCAAAAGCAAGGTGGAGGAGTGTGTTTGAGGGATTGTGGGAATTTAGGGCCGTGCACCACCCCCCTCCCGTAATGCGTGGGGCGCCTGGAGAAGGGCCTTGCAGGCAGGTGGGATCCTGCGGGCGGACCAGTGCGCTGCGCTGGGGTTCGCGCTGGCCGGGGCGGGGTAAGTCACGGCTCCTCAGCTCCTATTGTGCGGCCGGGCGGCCGCCGCGGAGCCTAACGCGAGGAGGTGGAGCCCTGGGCTTCGGGCTCCGGCGCCTGCGTCCGCCTGGCCCGGCTGTGCGCGGCTAGAGGCCGGACGGGAACTGGCAGCCGCACCCCGGAGGGAGCAGGGAAGGTTATGGGGCGCGGCGGCTCGCCTGGGCCCCGTAGATTCCGGAGCCCCGAGGTACTGCAGACCAGGCGAGAGCCCCGGAGCCAAGCGGGAAAACCCGGCTGATCCGGACCTGGCTGGGCCTCGGAGGGGTGCGCGGGCGGCCGCAGGGATGTAGCTCACGGAGGGGGCCGCCAGCGCGCGGATGCTGACCCCGCCCTCCTTCCCCAGGGTTCCCCACTAGATCTCCGCAGCGCCCCCTTCTTCTCACCCAGGGCTCGGTCCCTTAGTGATTGAGAGACTCTCAAGCCTCCAGCTCTTCCATGGCCAACGGAGTGATTCCGCCGCCCGGGGGCGCCTCCCCGCTACCCCAGGTGACTGCTCGAGGCGGGTGGAGGAGGAGGGGCAGGAGGGGTGGGGCGTCCTCTGGCTGACCCTGGGACCCCCAGATCCAGGAATGTAGCTGGAGTGGTGGTGCAGATGAAGAGGTCTTTGGCATTTCATGCATCTGTGGCCCCTTCACCTTCAAGGGCCTGGGGAGCCTGCAGAGGATGTTTTCCCGGGTGTTTACCCAGGCCTGGGCAAGGGTGGTGGAAGGCTGTTGAAGATGGACCTGCTGATGTCTCCTGCCTGCCTGTATTAGAGTATGGGATTGGGGTGGATGGAGGGCATTCTTGAGCCATGGGTCCTTAAGAGAGGTTATCTGACCTGCAGGTCCGGGTGCCCTTGGAGGAGCCCCCTCTAAGTCCAGATGTGGAAGAGGAGGATGATGACTTGGGCAAGACCTTGGCTGTGAGCAGGTTTGGGGACCTCATCAGCAAGCCCCCGGCCTGGGACCCTGAGAAGCCCAGCCGAAGCTACAGCGAGCGGGACTTTGAGTGTGGGTAGCCTGGGGACCCCTAGTGTGGCGCCTTCACCACCATCACCTTCATCGCCACCATTACTGTGCTCACCTCCGGCTTGATCACTCAGTGCCATCCTGTGCTGGACGCTGTGCTGGGCCACCATGCCATGTTAAGTCATCCTGCCTCCCTCACCATCGCCTGTATACCTGTCAGGGGATATGGGTCCCAGACCACGGGAAATGTAGGGAGATGGGCCTCAGGCCTTCCTCGGTGACCTTCATCATCCTTTTTGGCCCTGCTCACTCTCTCCACCATGTCTCCTGTTGTCGCCTCCCTCAGCTCTTCCTCTGTCTTCCTTGCGGTATCACGTCTCCTTACCCCCTTTTGTGACTTTCCCTCGCTGTCACTGTTGTCTCCACTCTACCAGGCCTAACCAATGACGGGAGCATGGACATAGTGGTTGGGGGTGGGGCTGTCCTGACTTTACAGAGAAGGACTTAGGGTGCTCTTGTTTGAGGCCTTGAGCTAGAATAAGGTGTTTATCCTTTGGGTGGGAAGAGGACCCCCCCTTCTGCTTCAGGGGTCTCAACCGACTCTCCTGCACCCCCAGTTCACCGGCACACATCCCACCACACCCACCACCCGCTCTCAGCCCGTCTGCCTCCACCCCACAAGTTGCGGCGACTGCCCCCCACCTCTGCCCGGCACACCAGAAGGAAGAGGAAGAAGGAGAAAACCTCTGCTCCCCCCTCAGAGGGGACTCCCCCCATTCAGGAGGAAGGGGGAGCTGGAGGAGATGAGGAGGAGGAGGAAGAGGAAGAAGAGGAAGGGGAATCTGAAGCAGAGCCTGTGGAGCCAACATCCTTGGGGCCCCAACAGAAAGCAAAGGTAGGGTGTTTGCATTGAAGGTGGGTTGGTTGCCAAGGATCCAGAGGATTCAGGACACCAGTGGGGGTGGGGGCCAGAAGGTAAGTCTGTCCATATCTGTCTACAGTTCTCCATTGGCAGTGATGAGGATGACAGCCCAGGCCTTTCTGGCAGGGCTACCTGCATCAAGGCCCTGCCCTCGGTGGGCCTGCATTTTGACCAGAGCTCCCAGCACTCCGGCAGGTACTTATCTGGCAGTTCCATGGCCCCAATCCAGTCCAGAGCAGTTTACCTAAGTTCCTGACACTTAACCTCCTTCCTAACCCTGAAGAGTATTCCCAGATATGCCCTGGAAAGCAGAGCAAGTGAGGGGAGCCATGTCTGTCTCCATGGTTTACAACCAAGTGAGAGTAAGAGGAGAGATAAGAAATAGTAGATCTAAGTGGTTAAGAGTCTCTAGGCCCAAAGAGGATGGGGTACAGGTGGAAGGAGATGACCCCACAAGTGGGATGGGATGGGCATGTTGGGGAAAGGGGGCCTGTGTCTGATGCCCAGGTCTCCTGAGGCTAGGGAAGGTACAGGAGCCCTCTAGCCTGGCCAGCTCCTTGCCTCTCTCCATCAAGTCCAAGGTTCATGTTGCCTCCTCAGCTCCCCCAGCCCACGGGCCCGGGCTTCCCGAGTCTCTGCAGAGAAGAGCCGGCCTTGGAGTCCATCAGCCAGCTATGACCTGCGGGAGAGACTGTGCCCAGGCAGTGCCCTGGGCAACCCTGGGCCAGAGCAGCGGGTGCCTACTGATGAGGCAGAGGCCCAGATGCTGGGCTCTGCTGACCTGGATGACATGAAGAGTGAGTGAGACCTTATGGCTGTCCCCAGACTCCCAGGACCTTGAAGAGGCTGTCTGCCATCTAAACATTCTGCAGGGCCTAAACCTTTCTGCAGTGTCATGGTGGCAGAGAGCTCCTATCTTACTAAGCCACCTCTCTCATTGCCAGAGCTGTTTACTTTTGTGACACCTTTGGGTGTCCTTTGAGTCACCTGTGGCATAAGAGGCCCTCTTTCCCACATGCTCTTTGAGGAAGTCCTTCTGAGACCCCACTGCTTAGTGATCTTTACCTCTAGCTCTTTACTCTGTAACCCACCTACCCAGAGGGAGGGTGATGGCTGAGTTGCACTGCCAGGCCCCTGCTTCTTCTCTGGCCAGGACTGCAGCTGCCCTCACTCCTTCCCACCACCCTTGGCCTGGCCTGGCTGTGATCTCTGCACATTCCTTCCATCTTATCAGTGCTTGGCTTTGGTGCCACCTGTCATCACCCATGGGGCTCTGTGCCCAGGCTAGGGGCATCACTGGTCCCCCCGCCCTCCTCTTGAAAACCACAGGGGTGGGCGGGGGCAGGGAGGGGAGTTAGGGCTTTGAGCTGAATACGTCATGGAAAGTTGCCAGGGCCTGAGGACAGGGACAGGAACAATCCGATGGCAGCAGCAGCAGTGGCAGCGGGGTGGGGGGGGGTTCATAGGGAGAGTGTGTTTACAGATCTAGGGTGGGAGCTGGTAGCAGAAGGGAGCAGGCTGGGGGGAATGTAGGGAGCTAGGAACAGGAAACATTACCACCTCCAGCTCTGGGTGGGCCTAGGCTGTTCCTGCAGGGGCTCCCACCTCTTGGGAGAGCTGGGGCTCTAGGAGGGAGTAGGGGCTGAGGCCTTGACCACCAGGGGAATGACAAACCTGCTAGACAAGGTCATGGAGCCCAATGGGGCTCTGAGCCCTGGACTCAGGGACACTGAGAGCCAGAGCCCTGGGAAGAATCCAGCCCCAAGCCCTGGTGACTTGTTGGCCTCAGAGGATTTGGAGATGTTTGTACTGGACTTTGAAGACTATGGCCTGTGGGAGCCCACGAGGGGCCACCGGAGCCCCCTGGCAGGGGCAGCTGCTTGTGAGTAATTGGGCAGCCAGCCTCTTCCCAGCTCTGCCTGGGCAGGGTAGGCAGGAGAAGGACCAGGCAGCCCTGCCTGTGTCTGCTGGATAGACAATAACTAGCCAACCTCTCAGGGACTATGGAAGTGTTGGGAGCTAGGTGTTTAGGGACAGGTGTCCAGCCTGAGGCCCCACAGGGAGGGTCATTGGTCATGGCAGGAATTTTGAGGGTTCAGCTGGGCCTGAGGACTGAGTTGGGATCTGCCTTATGTTGTGGCTTAGCTGGCTTAGCTAGTGGTCTAATGTGACTTTGCATTGTCTTTCCCCCTCTTAAGGGCCAGTCTCCATGAAATGGCCGCAGTGGATTATGGAGTATGTGGTGCCCACTGGGTGGGCTTGGTGGGCACAACTGGGGTCTGGAGCATGTGGACCATGAGTTGATCCCTGGGACCCCAGCCTACCTTCTCCACAGGTCACCGGCTGGAGGACAACCCTGGTGTGCGGCGGCACTTAGTGAAGAAACCCTCCCGGACACAGGGTGGGAGGGGCAGCCCCAGTGGCCTGGCCCCCATCCTGCGTAGGAAGAAGAAGAAGAAGAAGCTGGACCGGAGGCCTCATGAGGTACAGGAGCCTGAGGGTATTAGCTTGTGGGGTTCATTTTTCTTTTCCTGTGGTCACAGCCCCAACTATACCTTGGCACCCACTTCAGGTGTTTGTGGAGCTGAACGAGCTGATGCTGGACCGAAGCCAGGAGCCACACTGGCGGGAGACAGCACGCTGGATCAAGTTTGAGGAGGATGTAGAGGAGGAGACGGAGCGCTGGGGGAAGCCCCATGTAGCCTCACTGTCCTTCCGTAGTCTATTGGAGCTCAGGAGGACCATCGCCCAGGGTAGGCTCCTCAGGGTGGCCTGACCATTGGCCCTTCTCCCCACTACAGCTCAGCCTATGTCAGGCTTCCCAGTGCCTTGGGACTGCTTTGGGAGCTCTGGGGGGCAGGGCTGTGGATTGTACTTGGGCATAATGGACCTCCTAGCCATCTGTACTCTAAGCTGTGACTCCCCTTGCTTGACTTCTCTTGTGCCCCATTTTCACATCATATTCCACTTGCTTGTGTATTGAGCATCTGCTGAGTGCACTGGCACTTGGCTCACATTTGCCTGCCCTTGAGGCTCTGGGATGGGTCTCCTGTCTGGTAGGACGGCTCCTCCCCTCACTGTGTCCTAGGAGCGGCCCTTCTGGACCTGGAGCAGACCACCCTGCCAGGCATTGCACACCTAGTGGTAGAGACCATGATCGTGTCTGACCAAATCCGGCCTGAGGACAGGGCCAGTGTCCTTCGGACTCTGCTCCTGAAACACAGGTGTGGGGGCTGGGAGGAGGGCTCTGTTTGTTTCAGCTACCCCTCCAGGAGCATAGTCTCTTCTGAGGGACTCCCAACATGTACTTAGATATCGAACATGGTGGTATTTCATTTTGTCTTTCTACAGCTCCAACCATTAGAAAGTTCTTACGTTAAGAGGGCTGGAGAGTGTGGTCTTCCCTGTTTTACCTCGTCATCACCTCAGTCTCCCATGAGCCTTTCCTAATTCACCTTGCTCCCTTCTTTAGCCATCCCAATGATGACAAGGACAGTGGCTTCTTTCCCCGAAACCCATCAAGCTCCAGTGTGAACTCAGTTCTGGGGAATCACCACCCAACCCCCAGTCATGGCCCGGATGGCCCAGTACCCACCATAGCTGATGACCTGGGGGAGCCAGCCCCATTGTGGCCTCATGACCCTGATGCCAAGGAGGTTAGTGATCTTGCTGTAACCTGAGATGAGGGATTTAGAAGATGCCCAGTTTGAGTTGTGATTGGGAAGGGTGGATGCCTGGCACCATGCCAGGCACATAGTGGGTCTGTGGGTGCCACGCAGGAGAGCTCTCTGTGTTGGCAGTGTATGGTTTCAGTTCAGTGGACCCATGGGAGCCATTCAGCTGACAAGGCTAAGGTGGGGCAGGGTTTAGGGGAGGGTGGAAAGCCCTCTGGAGGTGAGGCTGGGGAGGGAGGAAGCAAGGCTCAGATCCAGAGCTTGGAACAAAGTGTGGGAGAGCCTGTCATGGCCTCCAGGCTGGGTCCCAGCCCTATTCCAGTTCTGCGTCCTCAGAAGCCCCTCCACATTCCTGGGGGAGATGGCCACCGGGGGAAAAGTCTAAAACTGCTGGAGAAGATTCCTGAAGATGCAGAGGCCACTGTCGTGCTTGTAGGTGAGGAGGGCTGGGTACTGGGGACAGGGTTTGCCGAATGTGCTTTTTTGTTGTCTGTTTGGCTGGACCTCTGACTGGAGGCCATTGTTCTAAGCTCTTCTTCCCTATCCCCTGCCTGCTTCCATTTCAGTGTTCTACCATCTTGGATTGTTGGTAGTTTAATATAGCACCATTGTAAGAATTAGAAAAAAGAGCAATCCTTATTTGATACCCTTAATTTTCACCTATTGGCAAACTGTTATATGCATATAAACATCTAAGTGAAAAGGACCCTTTTAGATGGGGGTTTCTTTTGCAGTGCCCAACTGCTCAACTGTACAGAAAACCTCAGATCTCTATTCTGGGGCCTGCCTTGACTGCCCATCACCTCTGCCTTCCTCTTCCTCCAGGCTGTGTGCCTTTCTTGGAGCAGCCAGCAGCAGCTTTTGTGCGGCTGAGCGAGGCTGTGCTCTTGGAGTCTGTGCTTGAGGTCCCTGTGCCTGTCCGCTTCCTTTTTGTGATGCTGGGGCCCAGCCACACCAGCACTGACTATCACGAGCTGGGGCGCTCCATTGCTACCCTTATGTCTGACAAGGTGGGTCCTGTACCCTGCGCTGGACTATCTAGGCCTGTCCACATGGGCCCTGCTTGTTCCTTGACTGTCTCACTGCCTCTGGAGTATAACTGGGGACGCTGTTAGCTGAAGGTAGAAAACAGAAGCCTGGGCTGGGGTGTGGGAGGAATGGTAACAGAGGGGGAGCAGCACCCTTGGATGCAGCAGAAGTGAACTGAAGGGCTCCTGGTGCTGGCCACTGCTGGCCTTAGGTTTCCTGATCACGGTGATGCCTGAGATATTTGTCAGGCTGCAGGATGTAAGCACTGCCATCAGAGCTGTTCTGGGGTCCCTTACTATACTGTCCTGGTGTATGTGGCTGGCTGTCCTCCCTGCCCTAGCTCCATGACCAAACACTGCCTCCCTGAAGTCTTCCTCTTGGGCCCCTTTGGTCCATCCTTGAAAGTCATACCCCCTCCACAGCTGTTTCACGAGGCTGCCTACCAGGCAGATGACCGGCAGGACCTGCTGGGTGCCATCAGTGAGTTCCTGGACGGCAGCATTGTGATCCCCCCATCTGAGGTAGAGGGTCGTGACCTACTGCGCTCAGTGGCTGCCTTCCAGCGTGAGCTGCTGAGGAAGAGGAGGGAGCGAGAGCAGACCAAAGTGGAGATGACCACTCCAGGGGGCTATGCAACCCCAGGCAAAGGTCAGACTCCAGCCCAGCCTGGACTCCCTGAGTCCTTTGTGCTGCCTTACCATTCTTGATCCTAGTCTCATGCTATGTGGGGTGGAGCTTGGGGTTCCTAACAGGAGGGAGTGATCTGTGTTCTAGCAGCACCTTGCCCCCCCAGAGCTGTCTTTGGAGATGGGGGGCTCCGAGGCAACCCCTGAAGATGATCCCTTGCTGCGGACAGGCTCAGTGTTTGGGGGGCTGGTGCGGGATGTGAAGCGCCGGTACCCACACTATCCCAGTGACCTGCGTGATGCGCTGCATTCCCAGTGCGTGGCCGCCGTGCTTTTCATCTACTTTGCAGCCCTCAGCCCTGCCATCACTTTTGGGGGGCTGCTAGGTGAGTCTCCTGGGGTCACTATGAGGGCCCAGAATCACCTGAAGGTTCCAGGGTTCATGTTACCGTAGGGTGACTAATGGTCAGAGGGCGTAAGAAAGCTGTGACCCCCCTTAGAGAGTGGCTGGGTCAGGGGACCCCAGTGATCCATTTGGGGGGGGGCTATAAAATGTGGGGTATAAGGGATGGGATCCCTTTAGTTTCCTTGGGACTGTGGATGGGGCTTTGTCAGTCTGGGAGCTGCTCTGCACTTGGTGGGGACTCTAGTTTGTGATGAATTACATGAAGAAGGGGACAGGAAGAGCCAAACTGGGATCACCTACTGACCCCTTGTCATCACAGGAGAGAAGACCGAGGGGATGATGGGTGTGTCAGAGCTGATTGTGTCCACCGCTGTGCTTGGGGTCCTCTTCTCTCTGCTGGGGGCTCAGCCACTGCTGGTGGTGGGCTTCTCTGGGCCTCTGCTGGTCTTTGAAGAAGCCTTCTTTAAGGTGAAGCCTCCCCCTCCCCACCCCAGGGACTCCCCCTCCCTCCTGCCCAGCACTCAGGTATCAAGGAGCTGGGTCCCTGCACTGTCTTCCTTCTCACCCTGGGAGTCTACCTCTGCCCAACCCATAGGCACCAACCTCTGGGGTAGATGGCTCACTTGTGGGTAACTACCCTCCCTGTCTGTCATCCCTAGTTCTGCAGAGCCCAGGACCTGGAATACCTCACCGGCAGAGTGTGGGTAGGCCTTTGGCTGGTGGTCTTTGTCCTGGCCTTGGTGGCTGCTGAGGGCAGCTTCCTCGTCCGCTACATCTCGCCTTTCACCCAGGAGATTTTTGCCTTCCTCATCTCGCTCATTTTCATCTATGAGACCTTTCATAAACTCTACAAGGTGGTGGTCCCCAGAGGATGGGAGGGGATGGGGTGAGGGTGACACCCTAGGGAAGCACAGAGTCACTGGGAACAAGGAGACAGGGAGAAGAGCTTCATTTTTTGGCGGGGGGTGTGTGGCAGAGGTAGAGGTCAGGGACATCTAGACTGGGTTTAAGTTGTCACTTGCCAGAGGAGTGATGAGGCATTGTGTTCTCCAAACAGGTGTTCACAGAGCACCCTCTCCTGCCATTCTACCCACCGGAGGGAGCCCTGGAGGCTAGCTTGGAGCTGAATAGTAGTGCCCTGCCCCCCACAGAGGGACCTCCAGGTCCGAGGAACCAGCCCAATACTGCTCTGCTGTCTCTTATCCTCATGCTGGGGACCTTCCTCATCGCCTTCTTCCTACGCAAGTTCAGGAACAGCCGCTTCCTGGGGGGCAAGGTACACGATCCCCTCAATTCCTGCCATTACTGCTAGGATTACCTCCTGAGAGAGGCTTCATGAATCCCGCCCCCCATCAACACACGCGTGGGGCTGGCATCCAGGGGAGAGGCCTAGGGGATAGCTTTGAGCACTTCTGGCTCCATCTTGGGTCTGGGAAGGGTTGGGGTGTCTCTTGAACTTCACTCAGCCTCTTACTTCCAATCAGGCTCGACGCATCATCGGGGATTTTGGCATCCCCATTTCCATTCTGGTAATGGTTCTTGTGGACTACTCCATCACTGACACCTATACACAGGTAAGTGGGCCTCACCCTGCAAATCCCTACTAGCCCTAGGGGCTGAAGCAAGGCTGGTTCCACTCTTCTGGTTAGTGGCAAGGGTGGGCTACCCCAGGGGCTGCCATGATGTTCAGCCAGGGGCTACTCAGAGCATCTGAACTGTGTATGATCTCAAGCAGGGGAATCTGGAGGAGCAGATGTGGACTGGGGTGGAATGCCAGGTCACCCTATGATAGTCTCCTGATGCCAGGTCTCCCCATAGCTCAGGAACTCAGGGAGCAGGAATTCCATTTCTACACCCTGTCAGCCCCTGGAGGGGCATTGTTTGGAGCTGAAAATGAGTTTCCCTGCCCTGCTCCATAGAGTTCTCCTACTGGGGACTCAGTGTGTGGTAGGAACAGCTGCAGTGTGGGCCTTCGGCATGGGGAGCCTCTATCCCTGACCCCTGTCCTCCTTCCTGCCTTGCAGAAGCTGACTGTACCCACAGGGCTCTCAGTGACCTCCCCACATAAGCGCACGTGGTTCATCCCACCCTTGGGCAGCACCCGTCCCTTCCCACCATGGATGATGGTGGCTGCTGCTGTCCCTGCACTCTTGGTCCTCATCCTGATATTCATGGAGACACAGATCACTGCGTGAGAGGGCTGAGGGAGGAGACGGAGGGGGGTGGCCAGAGCCGGTGGCTTGGGTTCAGGGTTAAGGCAGAGATTTCTTATCAGTCTAGGGGTGCTGGAAGGTAGGCCTTGAGGAGAGTTGTTGGTACCTGGCAGGGGTAAGGAGGAGTTGGGAGAGCTGGAGCAGCAGATCTGTGGCAGGTATAGTCCTGTGGTCCCAGGCACGGTTCTCCGGTGATGGTTTTACCTGATGCATGACTTGCACTCCTGGCAGGGTGGCACTTGGCAGTCCTCAGAACACTGGCAGGGTGTTTTCTCACCCAGAGATGCTCACACGTATCTCATTTTGGTTAAACCATAATAACATGGTGTGATCTGGCATCTGGCTTTTGTGGTTCTTTAAATGTTCACAGTATGAGAATTTGGCTCAGATTTATTGCAATATGAGAACTTCAATATGGGAACTTCAAAGAAGAAGCTGGCAGGCTCAGGGAAAGCTGTTGTCTGTACCCCCCACCCCACCTGGTGCTGTGGGAATTGCAGGTCCACTTGCTAACCCTCCACCCTGTCCTCCCCCGCCCCCACAGACTCATTGTCAGCCAGAAGGCACGGAGGCTGCTCAAGGGCTCTGGCTTCCACCTGGACCTGCTGCTGATTGGCTCCTTGGGTGGCCTTTGTGGGTTGTTTGGTTTGCCCTGGCTCACAGCCGCCACAGTCCGCTCTGTCACCCATGTCAATGCGCTGACAGTGATGCGTACTGCCATTGCACCTGGCGACAAGCCCCAGATTCAGGAGGTGCGGGAGCAGCGGGTCACCGGGGTGCTCATTGCCAGCCTCGTGGGTGAGAACTGGATTTCCCTACATTCCTGCTTTCTTGGGCCCTGTGGCTTGAACTCCTCCCCATTCCAGGTTTGACTCGGGTCCCTCCTGAATCTGCAGATGATCATGCTTCACCTTCCCTCAGATCCTCACCTTGCTGGCTGACACTGTGGCAGTCCTTCCCTGCTTCCCTTTGGTTCTGCTCCATCTGTGTTCATGCGGCCCCTTGCCCAGGCCATTTGTCCTGGGGCTGTCTGAGGGGTCAGACAAATCGGTATCACTTCCTCCAGGCCTGTCCATTGTCATGGGGGCTGTGCTACGCCGGATCCCATTGGCTGTGCTCTTCGGGATTTTCCTGTACATGGGGGTCACGTCACTGTCTGGTATCCAGTTATCCCAGCGTCTCTTGCTCATCTTCATGCCAGCGAAACACCACCCCGAGCAGCCTTATGTGACCAAGGTCAGGCCAGGGTGCATGGAGCTGGGGAGATGTGGGACATGATGTAAGGGGGTCTGAGGGACCCCTGGGCTAGAGATGGACAGGAGGAATAAGAAAGGGTAATTGGGACCTGGAGCACCATGTTCCCAAAGGTGTGGGTGTGGGCAGAGTGGCCACTGGATAGTGAGGCTGAGTCTGTTCCCCAGGTGAAGACATGGCGAATGCATCTGTTCACCTGCATCCAACTGGGCTGCATTGCACTACTGTGGGTGGTCAAGTCCACGGTAGCCTCACTGGCCTTTCCCTTCCTTCTGCTGCTCACGGTGCCTCTGAGGCGTTGCCTTCTGCCGCGAATCTTCCAGGACAGGGAGCTGCAGGCGGTAAGGAATGGTGGCTTGGGGTAGCAGGATTAAGGCAGATGGGAACTGGAATCAGATACCTGGGTTCCAAAAAATAAAAAGCCCAACTACCTGTTGGTTTGCGTGAACTTGAGAAAGTAATTAGAAGTCTTTTCACCTGTATAATGGGCTCGTAATAGATTCTGTCATATAGGACTGTTGGGAGATTTAAATAGGTTATGCTAGTAGGATGGCTTCAACAAGAGTAAGCACAGGGCTGCTGTGGACAATGTGTGGGTTGTGCCTGAACAAAAGCACCCAGCTGAGGGATGCGTATGGGTGGCATAGCATAGAAAGCCATTCTGAGCCCTGGTTTCTGTCAACTATAGGAAGGGACATGTTTTTTTAATTCTTTAAAATTTTTTTTCACATTTTAATGACATGTATATATGCATGTGTGCCATAGTATGTGGGTGGAGGTCAGAGGACAACTTGCAGGAACTGGTTCTTCCCTTCTACTATGTGACACAGATTGAACTCAGGTCGACAGGCTTGGAGGCAAGCACATTTACCCATTTTTGCAATTCTTTCATATTCAAACATGGGCTACAGAGGGGCTGCCATGGCTAGATGTGCTCCTAGAAAAGAATATCCTGTGTCATGGTTGCTACCATATTGGTATGATTTGCTAGTCCTGGGTGATCTGGGGAGGAAGGTTTTGGCCAAGGAAGTGCTTCAAGCTGGGGTCATGAGCAGAGGGAGCTGCTGTTCATAGGAGGATATGGGGAACAGAAAGGGATGAGTTTGTCCCTTTGCCTTTCCCAACCCTGTGTTCCCCTTTGCAGCTGGACTCAGAAGATGCTGAGCCAAACTTTGATGAGGATGGCCAGGATGAGTACAACGAACTGCACATGCCTGTGTGACCCTCGAGATGGTGCCCCTCAGACACCCTACCTTGGTGACTCACAGACCCTAGGATCCCAGACAGAGCCCAGGGCCAGGACCAGGCCATTCTTCATCACCCAGGGATGTGCCTGGAGCCACTGCCCATATCGGGCCAGTGGCCCCCCAACTTTGGTGGGGCTTTTCACAGACTAGACGGCACAGGCTTTGAACTCATTACAACACACTCCTTGTCTTGTGTCTGCCTCACTTTATTGGTGCCACCTCTGGTTTCCCAGGTCACACTTACCCATCTAGAATGGGAAGAATTCCATGATCAGGGTCAGCAAAACAGGGAGAGGACAGAGACCTTGAGGAAAATGGGATAATCAAGACTATAGAAAGTCAAAACTGGACCTTATCATCCCCTCCTCAGCCACCTCAAGTACAGCGGAGGAGCAGAAGGCTCAAGGGCTAAGCAAGGTCACATACCCATTAATCCAGCCCCTGCTTAGGAGGAATAGGGAGGCATTGCCCCTCCTTAGCCACTAGGGAAATCGGTGTCTTCTGTCCTATGGGGCTACAGAGCTGAATGGAAAATGTGTATCTTTTCTTGCTCCCTGGCATTCTGGGGAGCAGGGACAGCAGCCTAGTCCTGTAGACACCAGGGCGGCTCAGTGTTTGGGGCCGGCTGGACCATTTTAGATTCTCCTGGCTTTAGAGTGAGGCAGTTCTAGGATTCCCGAAGCCAATCCTTGTGCCATAGTCTCTGTTTTGCCAGAAATAACCTGGGAGGCCTTGAAGAGGGTGGAAACAGGACCCATTGCGTCACAGTTGCTTGGTTACCAGCTGCCTGATGGAGCCAGTCAGCCCTGTGTGGCCCTCTAGTGGTGTTTTTTCGTACTGCAGGCTCTGTCGGCTGAGGAGGAGTAACGCTGCCACCTGGCGGATCCGCTGCAATCAGAAGTCTTGTTCTAGGGGGTTCAGTTCCCAGAGAGGTCTGAGAGGTTCATGGTTGTCTGCCCCTTCAAGCATCCAGGGCTAATGGTTCTTTACTTCACATGGGCCTTTCCCTCATGAGCTGGCCCTGCCACCTTATCTTTCCCCCATTTTTCTCGTATATGTTCAGGCCAACAGCTAGTGCCTGAGGTGGAACAAAGGGCAGTGTTGATGCCTGTTGTGTCCCAAGGCAGAGCTGAGCCTTCCAGCTGTCCTGGATTATCATCTCGTTTTAAGCGTTTCATCCCAGCTGCCTGCGCACCCTTGGTCTCTGATACCACCATGCATCTTAACTACATCTGGCCACTGCCCCTGGCCCATGTGAGGACAAAATCCCTTTTCCTTTGAATGGGCCAAAATAAGACGTAATTTCCAAAACTGCCAAGGAACAAAGTGAAGGTTATATGCAAAGCCTAGATCACAGGCGTGTACAGAACACCTTCCATACACAAAGGGCAGATTCCCCTCACAGGCAGGCTTGGCTGAGAAGCTGCCCCCCTGGGAACCCCACTTCCTCCCCTAGACTGTAGCCCTTTTCTGCTAGCTGTTGTTTGGGTATTCCTATGCAATTCAGGAAGGAACCTTTTGCCAGTACCCTTAGAGGAAGTGGCTACCTGAGCCTGAAGACTTGCTCTTCATTGGGCCCAGCTTGAGTCAGTCATCTCTGCTGGCCAATAGCTGAGGACTTTGGGTGTTCTCTACTGCAAAGTGGAAAAAAAAGAGGGTTTTGAAACAAGTGTGTCCTAGTCAGGATAGGTGGACTAGGATGGCTTCCAGTAAAATTAGACCATCAGGCCTCAGTAAAAGGTGAGAAAACAAAGGTAGAATGAGACATAAATAACCATGTCACTTAACATGGAAAGAGTAAGATTCAGAGCCTGGATCTGTAAAAACCATTCCTGTCTGTACCTCCTTGGCACTTTCCCTCACTGAACCACTGGCTGAGGTTTAGGAGGCCCAGGAAGTCGAACCTGAGGTGGGCCTGTCAGAAGAATGGGGAATTCTTCCTCACTTGCAGTGGGCGCCTGAGCAGGGTTCAAGAAGACCAACGGCTGGATGAACAAAGCCAACTGTCACCAGGACAGGTGTGTGAGGGAGGAGTAGAGGGTCTGTGAGAGACAAGGAATGACAGCATGTTCCATACTAGCCTGGGCCTGGATGATTAGAGCAGGTGTCATTTGGAAACGTAGAATTTGCCCTGAAGCCTTGCTAGTCTCCATGCTTCCTCTTTCTCTTGATCACATTCTCTAAGGGCCTGGCCCCTTTGACGACTTTTTCAAGGCATGGAGGGCAATCAGTAGAGAGCAGCCTCATCCTGATGGTACAGTTTGGGAGGATATGACAGGACAGGTGTAGAATGTGGTCCTCCTAGTAAAACAGCTGCCATTATCAGACCAGTTGTGCCTGCTTGCAAGAGACTATCAAGAGAGGGATGTGGACTATTGATACTTCCTCAGAAAAGGAGGGGCTCGAGGGTCATTGGATCCGCACTTGAGATTCCAACCTCTGCTCCCAGCCATTGGTATGCAGTTCAGCCTAACTGCACTTGGTGTGCCCAGGTGGGTGGCCTGGCCTCAGGGTGTATGGAGATGCTACAGTAAATAGTCTGGGGAAGGTTGATGGAAGGGGGCTTCATCTATGTGGCCATGGGTCGTGGGTGAAGTCTTTCCATTGTGAATGCTTTGGGGTTAAGCTCCTGTAGGCAACCCTTCACCCATGCTCTGTAAGTTAAGCCCAATAAACTCTCCAGTTCCTCAGTTTGAGTTGTGGTGGAATTGTACTTTGGTTTTTCACTGGGACCCAATAAGGAGGAGATAGACTCTGCATTTCCCCAGAGAAGAAGGCATCTCAAAAGGGTAAAGACCAGGGTATTTTTGAACCAGCATCCCCACTGTCAACTGCTTTTGACTGGAAAAAGGCTTAGGGAGTGTGCAAGGTGACAGGGGACTCTTCCAATCGGATCTCAGCCCTAGCACGTTTTACCCTTTCCCATGTACCTGGGTTATGACCACATCTTGGGCAACTACACAAAGCTTTTATTACCCCTGGGCAAGTTCAAGTCCACTTCCAGTCCAGAGTCCTAGCTCCTTTTTTTAACTCTGAGCAAAGGTGGTGACTGTCATTGCCTTATTTCATGCTGAGGATTCAGCTTACTCAAGACAGTTGAGGCCCTCGTGTCAGCTTCTGGCTGTCAGAGCTCACGGACCATCTGCTCACATTGCCCTGTGCCCCTCCTTTAGGGCAGAGAAGCTGGCAATAATGTGTCCCATTTGGCAGGCCAGGTGACATCTCTTCTTGTTTCATATCAGGTGACTTAAATAATGATCATAGCTGTTGACACTTGGAGCTCTCAAAGGGAATTCTAAGCAGCAAAGGAGAGATGAAACTAAACTCAAGGGCATCTACATCAAACGCCGCCCGCTCAGTTGGCAGTGGAGCCATTGCTGAAAATAAGAGTAAAAACAGGTTCTGGCAGTGCTGAACAGTGGCCCAAATCCAAGGTGGCAAATTAGGAAATGCAGAGTGAGGATTTTGGTTTCCAGATAAATTATACAATTGTTGGAAAAAGTTTGAACTGTTGCATGATCCACCACCTGTGCAAAGGCACAGACTCCAATATTTGTAAGATTTATGTTCTGTGAGGAAGATTTAATGTTTGAGCGGGCTGTTGGGATTATTTTCAATTTCCTTGGAACTGTTTCTTTATATTGAATGATACTTTATCAAGTGCTAACTAAGCAGACAGCCATTAGGATACTCTGTGGGTGGCAGATGAGTCACAATTAGTTGTAGGCAATGGGAAAGAGTTGCATAGAGACCCTCCATATCTTTGTGTCCTAAGGAGAGGAGAGGAGGTGGGGCATACCTGGGATAGTGCATGGAAAGGCGGAACATCACAGAGCTGGTGGAAAGACAGGGGAAGGAGGCACTGAAGAGGGTACAACCAGCCTTGCACACCTCCTGTATCACTGTGCGCTCATGGCTTGTGCTTTCTGTCTCTGCTCTGTAAGATGGGCAGAGACCCAGCCTAAGCCTTTTTGTAATCTTGATACCTCCCATGGTGCCTGGTGCCAGAGCACAGAGGGCTTGGGGGTGGACAAGTGTCAGAGTAGGTCCCAGACTCTGTCCCAAGTGACACCAGTACCTTTCAAAGAATTCTGAAATGTTTTGATTCTCAGGTTTGTTCATTTCACCTAAAGCTGTCATTTCTCTGTGGCTGATATAGCATCCCCAGAACCCAAAGAGGCAGTGTGGGTCTCCTTTTGAGACAGTCAAAGGGAGAGATGGTGATCCTATGTCCTACCTGCTGGGCTGACAAGTCAACAGTGGCAGGGGAAAGAGAAAGTGGTAACATATTCCCCAGGAGCTGCAGGAGATGGGGGTGGGGATAGGGAGTCAGCCTGGCCTAAGAGCTGGTCCTGGGTCCATCTTTGCTTCCTACTCCACCAGTAGGTCTTCAAAATACTAAAACCTAGATCACCTTCTCCATTATGGTTTTTGGAAGGTCAGTCATATATAGGGCACTTTCCCCAAGGCCAGGATGCCTGGAGGCAGTGCTAGGCTTTATTTTCCCATCCCCAGTCTTCTTAGACAGTTTCTTTTCTTTTTATTTATTTTTTTCATTTATTTTTATTTTATGTGTATGAGTGTTATGCCTGTATGTGTGTAAGTACACTCATGTTGTGCTGTGCCTGGGAATGACTGAAGAAGGCATCAGATCCCCTGGAACTGGAGTTACAGATGGTTGTTAGCTGCTATGTGCGTGCTGGGGTTTGAACCCAGGTCTTCTGCAAGAACAGCCAGTGCTCCCAACCACCAAGCCATCTTGCCAGCCCCCATTTTTTAATTTAAAAATTTCATTTATTCATTTGTGTGAAAGTCAGAGGACAACTTGCTTGAGTGGGTTCTCTCCTTCCATGTTGGGGGTTTCAACTCAAGTGTTCAGGCTTGGTGGCAAATAACCTCTACCTGCTGAGCCATCTTGACAGCCCTTGGGCATTTTCTTAGTGTGTCTGTCATAAGGTGCCTCTGTGTCTCAGGAACTTAATAAAGTTATCAGCCCTTACTGGGCATTGTGATGTACATCTGTAATCCAGCACTTGGGAGGGTACAGCAGAAAGATCACGAATTTGAAGCCAGCCTAGGCCACATAACAAAACCCTGTATCAAAAACCACATAAGGGAAATGCTAAGACCCTGGAATCTGTTTCCTGATGAGCCCTAAAACCCAGAGCAGCCGGGTGTGGTGGCACATACCTTTAATCCCAGCATTTGGGAGGCAGAGGCAGGCGGATGTTTGCGAGGCTATCCTGCTCTACATAGTGAGTTCCAGGCCAGCTGGGGCTACAGGGAGACCCTGTCTCAGAAAGACACCCCCCCTGAAAAAAAATCCCAAAACAAAAACAAAAACCAAACAACAACAACAAAACCTCCCAAACCCAGACCCTAGGATACTGATCCTGGGGATCTTTGGAGCATTCTTTAAGGGCCACTTGGGGCCTTTCTGCCTTCTGACCTCCATTCACAGAGGCTTTAGGTTCATTATTTACTTAGCAGGAATTGAAGTCCAATGCTGCCTTAAGTTTTCCTAACTGTGAATCCTTCAGTTTGGTGTCAGGAGAATTTCCATAAGAGGGAGTAGTTAGGGGTAGGTCTCAGGTATCTGCTTTCCTGAGCCTTTTAGAAGCCCCACTCTGCAGTGATACAGGGGTGGGGGAGGTGGGATGGGGGAGGAAGGTGAGCTTGCAAGCTATGCCCTCCTTGCCTGCTATGACCGGTCACCTTAAAAAAAGTCTGCTGCAGATACTGCTGTGCCCACCTGTAGCTAAGGGAGACAACCCAATATTGTTCTAAAATGATGGTTAAATTTGCTTTCTCCCCCTATCTAGAAGTCTTTAAGAGGGAACTGACACTGATTCTAGCCACTCCAATAGCTATCAAAGTGCTTGAACACAAATCTTGAGTTCATTACTCTCGAGTTCAGCCTTGGCAGACAAAAGAAAAATGAGGAGGAACCCAGTAGAAGGATGCTTTTGGAGCTCTTGTCAAGAAATTCCAATGGACTCTGATACGAACATTTGAAATTTGCCCTTCTGACTTTTTTCCAGTTCTCTGTCTAGAACTTGTAATGCTAACTACTCTTGTCTTTACTTCTCCTTCACATCTCCTAGGCACCAGTCAAGGACTTTGTTTTCTCCCTACAGTTAAGAGTTATGCAATTTGGGACCCACTGAAGGGGTACCCCAATTGCCTCACCCTGCGTCCCTGTTCAGCATGGAAGAAGCCAGCATGGTCTGTGTCCCAATTCCCTATTGGCAATTTGGGTAACTTCTTCAGAGGACGGTGTGATAAGAGTAGGAAGTAGGACTTGGCTAGGCAGTTAGGGTAAAAAGACCCCAAAGAAAAGTAGCCAGTTTCTTGGCTAAAAGTCAAAATGTCCTTGAGGCTCTTAGCAACATACTTCATTCCAAAGGCCAAAAATGTCAAAAGTATTTGGGAGCTCTTATCTAATCCTTAAACAATTTTTTTTTCCTGTCTTTTTGAGACAGGGTCTCTCTGTAGCCCTAGCTGGCCTGGAACTCACAGAGATCCACCTGCCCCTGCCTCCTGAGTGCTGGGTAATCCCTAAAATATTTTAGGGTTACCTCTTTAGAGGCGGGAATGTAGCAAAAAGGCCCATAAGTTTAACTGGTCAAGACTATAAAATCCATAGTCTATCTGTTGGAGGACCCACTTTTCCAATCCCACTGGTCAATCACCTGGTGATAGAACTACCCCTAGGAAGGCAGGTTCACCTTAAGTTATGCTAAATAGTTGGGTGGAATATCTGGTGGGTTAATGAGGTAACTAATTTTTCCTTCCTGGAAACTGTAATGCAGAACTCCGCAGAACTTCTGACCACCCACAGTCACGCAGGTCTCTGTAAGTCTGTCTACTTTCTACCATTTGGGTCCATTCTTCAATTCTTTTATTAATGAGACTAAGAACCCTCTAGGGGAGCCTCTTTCCCCCTGTTTCAGTATAGGCCAAACTATGGACATATGGTGTCTTTAATTAAGAGACAAAACGACCTACAGTAATAATATGTGAAGGTACTTTTGCAGACAATGATAGACTGGCACCATCCTTTGAAATATTCTGGAAAAAAATCATTTTGTACCCTTAAAAAAATAAAGAAAAGGCCTTTTGTTAATGCTTAAAAAAAAAAAAGGTCTGCTGCAGGCTGGAGAGATGGCTTGGTGGTTAAGAACATTGACTGCTCTTGTAGAATGCTGGTTCGATTCCTAGCACCCACATGGTGGCTAACAATTGTCTGTAACTCCAGTTCCAGGGGATCTGACACCTTCTTCTGACCTCTGTGGACATTGCATGACATGGGTGCACTCACATACATGCAGGCTATACACTCATAAAATAAAAATAATAAAAAAAGTCTGCTACATTTTCACATTCTAAGTGGCAGGTATTGGGTTTTAGGTTGAGTGGGTGAGAGTTTAGGAAGAACAGAGTTTATGAAACTGTCTCCTACAGGGACCTCCAGTTCAGACCACAAAGCCTGGAACAGCTAATTAAGAGTAGCTAACTAGTGAGGTTGTTATTGTTTGTTTGTTTGAAACAAGGCCTTGGTATGTAGCTCTGGCTGGCCTTGTACTCTGTAGCCCAGGCTGACTTCAAACTCATAACAGTCCTCCTGCCTCAGGCTTCTGAGTATTGGGATTACAGGCATGCACCACTACAACTGGGGAAAGTGTTAA